TTCCTCATTTTTGGCCAGTTATGTTAGTTTCTTGTTCCTCTCTCTTAATCCGGGTTTTGCCCAGTTCCCCTCTTCTGGTTATTAGCTCTGTGAGTCTTTATCATCAGGAAACCAGAAAAGCTGACAGAGTGAACTAACCTCAGAGTTTCCAGTCTGCAGTTTGGACTTTCCAGTCCAGCAGAAATATGTTTCACTCCTGAATCCATCAGCATGTTGTTACTCAGGTCCAGTTCTTTCAGATGGGAGGGGCTGGACTTTAAAGCAGAGGCCACAGCTTCACAGTCACTCTCTGAGAGTCCACAGTCTGCAAGTCTGAAATAGAAAACATGGAAAGGAAGCCAGAATCACATCAGCTGATCCACACTGGAAACACAGACTCAGCACAAACTGTAACTAAACATCTGGATGGAAAGAATGGGATGTGAAATGAATGTGATCTGATCAACATTGTTCTTCATCTGAGGTTCATCTCATCTCACTTTGATGTGACACTGTTATCCTCCTCAGCCTCTCAGACCTGAGCACTTTAAATGGTTTAGTCATTATTTTATGTCATTCAGCAGATAAAGAGAGAAACATGCTGTTCCATTCAGACTGAAGAAACCTCCAGTCTGTCAGTCTGATCTGATCACAGGTCAGAATGAAAATGTCTGCTTCAAAAAACACCTTTGTCTGTTTTTAAAGCGAAAGTCTGCTTACAGTTGGAGAGATGATTTCATTCAAAACAGTATTGTGAATTGTGACTGTTGACATAGTAACAGAAAAAATCCACTCAGTTTCTTATGCCTCTATTCATATCTGATTCCTGATTACCTAATTTTCTGAATCATTGGCATTGCCCCACTGCTCATTTGATTGTTTTATGTTGAGAACACATAATCTACAGCTTTAAATCAGCATGCGGTTCGTTTCCTCCTCCAGTTTGAAGCACAAAGAGAGCTAACTGAAACAGAACCTATCTCAGCTCCTCCTCGTCCTCTATCAGAGCTTGTGGCTGCAGCAGGACTCTTCATACCTGAGTTTGTGTGGATCCTTCAGAGCAGCCATCAGCATCTTCACACCTGAATCTCCTGGACGGTTGGAGCTCAGGTCCAGCTCTTTCAGATGGGAGGGGTTGGAGGTCACAGCTGAGGCCAGAGAAGAACAGCCTTTCCCTGAGATCCCACAGCTGGACAGGCTGCAGACACACAGAACAACACAAACTCTGAGAGCTGCTCTGAGACTGAAGCTGGATGTTATCACATATTGATCTGATGATGGCTCCAAAGCACTCAGTCAGCAATCTGACCAATGACATCAGTCTATTAGACACTGTTAGAAGTTTTTAGTCTGAACCAATCTGGAGGATCAACTTGAACATTTCAAACTCCAGCAGAGGTTCAAACATTGAGAAAGTGTTCATGTTAATGGAGGAATGAGAACAGGCAGCACACTGAGTGTTAGCGGTGCCAGACCTAGGGGAATCTGGACCAGCAGCAAGGGCTGCACAGGCTGGGGAGCACTGTGTAACCAAGTTATACAGAGGCTAACTCTTTGGATCAACAAAGGAGAGGACCATTGCTAGCATGCTGCTCATGCTGCTTCTGACATTGAATAACGTACAATTCACAATCACAATACATGTAGAATCCTAATGACACTTATTTAGCTTTTAACACATTTATGTTATGAATGCTTACTATTGCTAATAAACCTTCAGACAGTATTACCATAACATTGAAGTGAGGAAAACAGAGAACTGTTGGGCCAACGGTAACTAAAAAAAAAATTTAATGCACATACTACTGGTCTAAAATGGTGTACTAACATTAGAGTTATGAATAAAGCATTCACAATAGTTACTGGACTACACTCAATGCAGACATGTGCCTTTAACCATGGCTGTGGATCAACAAAGACAGGACCACTGTTAGCGTGCTGCTCATGCTCAAGCTGCTTTACTGCTGAGGCCATGTGCCGAACTAGGTAACTATCTTCCTGGTGAATCCACAGCCGTAAACAGCGTAAACCGTAAACAGGTTCAATCTTTAGTCTCCACAAAGAACAGAAACTCTGCATCTAAAATCTCAGTTAAATTCAGATTGACCTGTGGCTGATCTGGCTGCATCTTTTCATGAAACACAGAGCACAAATTTGTATTAATTCTGCTAATTTTCCCAAACAAAGCTGCTCATATTCACATATTTACTACTTCAGAATCCTTAAGTTCACTTTCTGGAGGGAAAAGTCATTGTTCATCCAGTTCTGACCTGAGTGTTTCCAGTCTGCAGTTTGGACTTTCCAGTCCAGCAGAAACATGTTTCACTCCTGAATCCCTCAGCTGGTTGTCACTCAAGTCCAGATGTGTCAGACTGGAGGACTGAGAGCTGAGAACTGAGGACAGAGCTTTACAGCTTCTCTCTGAGAGGTTACAGCTACTGAGTCTGAGAAGAGAGAAAATAAATGGATTAGATCATCAATCAGGCAAACAGCTTTTGTAAAGTTCAGTTTCAGTTTTTAAAAATGCTGAAAAAAAATCACTAAATCAAAAAAGGATGCATAATAAGAGACCACTTCAGAAGAGATCAATCTGTGTCTGTACTCACAGAGCTTTCTTTGAGGCTTTGACCACTGGCAGCAGCCTCAGAAGAGCCTCCTCTGAAGCACAATATTTCTTCAGATCAAACTCATCCAGATCTTTATCTGATGACAGTAAGACGAAGACCAGAGCTGACCACTGAGCAGGAGACAGTCTATGTATGGAGAGACTTCCTGAACTCAGGGCCTGTTGGATCTGTTCCACCAGAGAACCATCATTCAGTTCATTCAGACAGTGGAACAGGTTGATGCTTCTCTCTGCAGACACATCCTCACTCAGCTTCTTCTTGATGTACTGAACTGTTTCCTGATTGGTCTTTGAGTTACTTCCTGTCTTTGTCAGCAGACCTCGTAGGAGCCTCTGATTGGCCTCCAGAGAAAGACCCAGGAGGAAGCGGAGGAACAGGTCCAGGTGTCCATTTGGACTCTGTAAGGCCATGTTCACAGCTCTCTGATGGAGCTTTTGGAGACTTGGTTTAAAGAACCTATTAAACCTGATAAAGGGTGTTTGTTGTTCTTCGAGCAGGTTTATTCCAGAGCTGATGAAGGTCAGATGGAGGTGCAGAGCAGCCAGAAACTCCTGAACACTCAGATGGATGAAGCAGAACACCCGGTCCTGGTACAGCCCGCTCTCCTCTTTAAAGACCTGTGTGAACACTCCTGAGTACACCGAGGCTGTTGAGATATCGATGCCACAATCTGTCAGGTCTGATTCATAGAAGATCAGTTTTCCTTTCTGCAGCTGTTCAAAAGCCAGTTTTCCTAGAGACTTCACCATCTTCCTGCTCTCTGGACTCCAGTGTGGATCTGTCTCAGCTCCTCCATCATACTTGACCCTCTTCACTTTGGCCTGAACAACCAGGAAGTGAATGTACATCTCAGTCAGGCTCCTGGGCAGCTGCCCCCCCTCTCTGGTCCTCAGCACGTCCTCCAGAACTGTAGCAGAGATCCAGCAGAAGACCGGGATGTGGCACATGATGTGGAGGCTCCGGCAGCTCTTGATGTGGGAGATGATGCTGCTGGCCTGGCTCTTCTCTCTGAACCTTTTCCTGAAGTATTGCTCTTTCTGCTCATCTGTGAAGCCTCTGACCTCTGTCACCATGCTAACGCAGTCAGCAGGGATCTGATTGGCTGCTGCAGGCCGTGTGGTGATCCAGAGGCGAGCAGAGGGAAGCAGGTTCCCCCTGATGAGGCTGGTCAGCAGCACGTCCACTGAGCTGGACTCTGTGACATCAGTCAGGGGCTCCTGGGTGTGGAAGTCCAGAGGAAGTCGACTCTCATCCAGACCATCAAAGATGAACACAACCTGGAACTCTGCAGAGCTGCACACTCCTGCTGCTCTGGTTTCAGGAAAAAAGTGATGGAGGAGTCCCTGCAGGCTGAACTGTTTCCCCCTCAGCACGTTCAGCTCTCTGAAGGTGAAGGGAAACAGGAAGTGGATGTCCTGGTTGGCTTTGCCTTCAGCCCAGTCCAGAGTGAACTTCTGCGTCAGGACTGTTTTCCCAATGCCAGCCACTCCCTTTGTTAGAATTGCTCTGATTGGCTGCTTTCTTCCAGGTGGGCATTTGAAGACGTCTTCCTGTCTGATGGTTGTTTCTGGTCTGTCTGCTTTCCTGGATGCTGCTTCAATCTGTCTGACCTCATGTTCCTCATTGAGCCCTGCAGCCCCCCCCTCTGTGACATAGAGCTCTGTATAGATCTGATTCAGAAGGGTTGGGTTTCCTGCTTTAGAAATGCCCTCAAACACACACTGGAACTTCTTCTTCAGAGCAGATTTATGTTTAAGGCCACAGACTGCAGCAGAATGTTCTGAAATGAAGACAACAAATAACATTATCAAATAAACATTTGACCATGTGAAGAATGAGTGTCTTAACATCTGAATAAATGTGTCCTTTCTCCAGCAGGTTAAACTTTCAGAGAAATCCCCTTACTGCTCCTCAGACGCTCAGCCAGCTCGTCCTGCTTCATTTTCTTCAGGAAGTGCACTGTGATCTTCACCAATGCCTCTCTGCTGCTCCACTGCTCTGCATCCTCATCCTCCCTCTGAATCTCTAAGCATTGTGGGTCATCTAGACTCAGAGCCTTCTGGATCTTCTTCAGCTCCTCCCTCACAAAAGTCAGCATGTTGTCCTCCAGCAGCTGGAACAGAACATGATCTGAATGA